GTCCCCGCCCCCGCGGCGCCCCGGGAGCGTGGTGACTGCAGGGACTGGGTGTCCGGCGCTTTCCCCGAGACCGTGTGCAAACCTTCAGGACCCATGTGCAAACCCGGGATTCCCGGCGAGGGAGGCTCACCTGGGCTTGTTGGTGCCTGTTTAGCCACCCGAGCGCCTCCAGGTGTCAGGGCTCCGGCAGATGGGAACTTGCCGGCAGAGAACTTGACCCTCTAACCAAGCGCCTGCCTGTCCGGGCACTGATGACACCCCCACCCTGGCCGGTGCCATAAGAAAACGTTGGTCCTGGAGTGTCTGGGCTGGAGCTTTCCAGTCAGGGGTTCGAACCTGCCCTTTGCCACCTGTGTCCTCTTGGGCCCCAGTTTCTTCATTAGAAAAGTGGGGCCCGGCTGGCGTGGCTCAGTGGTTGCGCCTGGACCTATGGACCAGGAGGTCAGGGTTCGATTCCCGGTCAGGGCACATGCCCTGGTGGCGGGCTCGGTTCCCAGTGTGGGGCGTGCAGGAGGCAGCTGATCCACGATACTCTCTCATCATTCATGTTTTTCTCTCTCTCTCCCCCTCTCTGAAATCAGTAATATATATATATATTTTAAATTAGAAAAATGGGGATAATGCCTATCACATGGGGTTGTAAATTGAGAACGAATGGTAGACCACTTTGTATGTATGTATGTATTTTTCACACCACGTTTGCTTTGTTGCTAAGCACTTCAGGTAGATATGGATGGACTGGACTACTCCGGCCTCACCTTACATTCAAGGTCTCCAATCCGGTCACCAACTGCCCTGTAGGGAGCTGTAGGGTCTGGAGGTTGGGGCTTTCCCGCCGGAACTGGGGGGCGGAGGCGGCCAAGAAACTGGTAGAACGCTGAGGACCAAGATGGCGCTCAGACCCCTGAGCTACCGGCTGCGGGTTTGGGCGACCCCCTCAGCTTTACCCGTGCCCAGTTCCAATCCGGGCGTGGCATACAGAGTCCAAAAAATAGATATGTTTTCAGCCGTGGCTGGTTGGCTCGGTTGAGTATCGTCCTGTGCACCAAAAGGTTTCAGGTTCGATTCCCAGTCAGGCCACATATCTGGTTGGGGGCGAGTACTGGAGGCAACTGATTGATGTTTATCTCTTACATCCATGTTTCTCTCTCCCTCTCCCTCCTTGTACTCGATCCCAAAAGAGAGCTCAGTTTATATTTAAGTACCAGCTTTGTCAGAATATCTTTCCTTTTTTTCACTATTATGTAGTGTAAGTAAAGAGCAGTTGGTGGACAGTTAACTGCTTACCAGCCCCTACTTGGCAGGAAGTGTGTACATACAGGAATGTGAAATACATCACTTAAATGTAATATGAAATTACACCTAGCTTCATATGTTTTTACATACTCTAAAATCCATAAGCTGTCTGAAGTTTCCCCAAGGTGCTAGTTTTTGAGATCTTTTCCAGATCTTTTCTACCTGAAACCAAAGTCCATAACATAACCTTTATCTTCAATAGAAGATAAATTTGTGCGTTTTAAAACATTTAAAAGATACCCCCCCCCCCAAAAAAAAACAACCCCACCCTCCAAATCTTACTTAGCCAGTTTTACTTTTGAAAAGCAGCCACCTCCCAGGGGTGAGGTGGTACAGCCAGCTGGTCCGAAGCCCTGTGACTGCAGGGTGGGGAACCTTTGGCTGAAAGTTATTAAACTGTTTTTGCCTGTTGTCATTTGCATTTTTCATAGTGAATCAAAGGGCTTCATGATACTTAGTTTCTTAATGAGACAATTTAGAAAGAAACCATTACTACTTTTTTCAAAAACACATGGAAAGAAAAAGTGGCTGTAGTTTAGTTCTAGCATTTGCAAGAACTATTGAAGAGCCCCTGTTTAAAACGGCTTCTAAAAGTCCTGTGCGTTAGGATAATTTTTAAATTTAGAGTAAAATTGTAAGATGGAAGAGTAATATGAATCCCATAATCCAAAAGTATTTATTGCAGACTTTACATGTCCATAGTACACTGCTGAGTGGTATGAGGAACAGATTCAAAAGAAGTAAAAAAAATCTCAGTCCATAAAGGGCAAAAATATAAAGTTTGGGTCACCCAGTAGTAATTGTGGGCACTCCTTACTTAAGTAATGACTTCATTCACTCATTTGTTTATTCATTCAACAAACTTTTGTTCCATGCTTGTAAAGTGCCAGGTGTTTTTCTAAAAACTAAGATCAAGATAAGTGAGATATGGTCCCTGATGGTGAGGCGCTCACAGTCTAATGCAGTGATGGCAAACCTTTTGAGCTTGGCATGTCAGCATTTTGAAAAACCCTAACTTAACTCTGCCGCCATGTCACATATAGACATTTTTTTGATATTTGCAACCATAGTAAAACAAAGATTTATATTTTTGATATTTATTTTATATATTTAAATGCCATTTAACAAAGAAAAATCAACCAAAAAAATGAGTTCACGTGTCATAGGTTTGCCATCACTAGTCTAATGGGAGAAGCAGAAAGTGACAGATAATTGTAACACACTGAAATAAACTCTACTAGTAAGTACAAGCCCAGAATTGTATGGGAGAGTCAAGGGAGTTTTTCCTTTGGATTTCAAAGAGCAGATGGTGTTTGAGCTGAATGTTAACTCCATGAAGCATAGGAAGATCATTCCAAACAGAAGTAACTGAACTTGGAAAGATTTCCTGATACTCTTCTGACCACAGGTGTAAGTCCTAGGGAAGGGGAAGGTAAATGACATTCCTTGATGTCCACTATGTAACAGGCATTAAGTTAGGTTTTTAGTGTATTACTTAATCCTCACAACAACCCTATGAGTTGGAATGTATCTCCACTTCAGGATAGGGAAACTGAGGCTCAGGATAATTAAATAATTTGTCTGTGGTTAGTGACAGAGCAAGAACTTGAATCTGTCTTAAAATTGTAGTATTCTCTTTACCTTTTAACACTCTGCTTTATAGAAGTAAATACAAATGAGGTGAGAAAGTTCTACCTACATATGTCATTTTATTACATCTATGACAAATTACATTCTGTGAAAAGTTAATATTTGATTTAGAATTGATAAAGCTTGTATAATAAACTAGAGGCCCGGTGCACTGGATTCATGCACTGGTGGGGGGGGCGCATGGCCTGTGGGGATTGGCCAGCTGTGGGAGGGCCGCTCATTCTGGTCAGCTGAGTGGCTGTGGGCCCTCCCTCTGAGCGGCTGCTCCCGCTGTGGGAACACCGCTCATCCCGGTCAGCAATACGGCGCTCCCACTGGGAGCATACTGACCACCAGGGGCAGCTCCTGTGTTGAGCATCTACCCCTGGTGGTCAGTTTGTATTATAGCGACTGGTTGACCCATTTGTTCTGGTCATTCCGCTGTTCTGTCACTGGGCTTTTATTTTATACTAGTGACCCAGCATGCGAAATTGTGCAAGACCCAGACCCATGGGAAATTGTGCGAGACATGGGACCCCGGACCCCACTGCACTGTGGGACTCCTCTGAGTTCCTGCTGGCACTGCGAGACCCAGAGTCAAGTTCCTGCCTACCTGCGTGCGCCTTGCTGTGCATGCAGCCTCACCCGCGCAGGCCTCACCGCACACACACCTCGCCCACCCACGCACACCTTGCTGCGCATGCAGCCTCCTGGTTACCGGTCTTTGGTTGTTACGGAATTACAGCCACTGGGTTTTTATTATATAGATAGGATAGGATGAAGGCTGTCTTTATCAAATGGTATTTATTTTATGCTTATAAGTGTGGCACTTGCTAAAAAGTGTGACCTATAGAAAGATTCAATAAAAATGAAAGACATTGATTGATACATATAGATTCTATATGGAGCACTTGACACAGTTATTAAACCGATATAGACTTTCCTTGAGACTGCAGTTTAAATATTTAACTATACAAAGTAAAGTATATCAGACATATAACCAATTAAAAAGACAGTGAATGGGGTAAAGTAGTTTTGAATAATTAATTTTTACGAAGGGGAAATTAGAATTTTGAAGCCATATTAACAAAGATTATTGTATTACTAGTGGCCCTGCACACGAATCCATGTGCAAGTAGCTAGCTGCTGCTTGCCTCACCTGGCTGCCCAGCCCACCGCTGCTGGTAGCTTGCTGCCCTGCCCTCCTGAAGCTCTCCGCCTGCTGCCCCACCCTCCTGTAGTTCTCTGCTGCTCGTAGCTTGCTGCCCTGCCCTCCTGTTTGGTCATTACGTGTCACGTTGTAATGACCATTTGCATATTACCTGTTTATTATGTAAGATGTTTAGAGAGATCCCTGTGGCAAGGACATATACTAACTCTAAGTTCCACAGAGCAAATCTTGGGACATAATAGATGCTTAGTAATATTTGTTGAGTAAAAGATGAGCATGAACAAATGTATATTTACAGTGAGTAGTGTGTTCATGAGTATAAATACTAGATAGTTAGAATCGATAGACATAATATGGAATGTTTTAGTCTGCTGAAAAAACTTTGTATAGATTATATTTCAGAAGGTCTTTGAAAGGGAAAAGGGAAGACATTGATAGATTAAAGATTATAGGTAATGGGGAGTAATTTACAAATGGATTAATTTGGTAAGAAAAGGAACATTGAACAAAGGGAATGGCCCACTGACACTGAGAAGCAGAAAGTGACAAATAATTGTACAAATTATTGTACAAATGACAGATAATTGACTGACAATTCAACAAGGATAGGCAGTGGTTCTATCTTTTTTTTTTTTTAATCATCACCTGAGGATATTTTCTTCATTGATTTTCAGAAGAGTAGAATGGAGGGATGAGGTGGAGGGAGAGAGAGAGAAACATTGATGTGAGAGAGACATATCTATTGGTTGCCTCCCCCACTCGCTCTGAGCCAGAGCCAGGGGATCAAATCTGCAACCAAGATACATGCCTTTGACTGGGAATTGAACCCGAGATCCCTCGATGGGTGGATGCTCCAACCACTGAGCCAAATGGGCCAGGGCAGCATTGGTTATTTCTAAGGCCTTATTGGAGTTTTAAGAATCAAGGAAGCAGTCTCTGCTCTCCAGGATCTTACAGTTTCACAGAATAGTGTGCTAGCTATCTATTGTTGTGTAACAACTTACCACAAAAGTTAGTATTTAAGACAACAGTAAACATCTCTCACAGTTTTTGTGAGTCAGGAATTTGGGAGTAGGTTGGCTGAGTGGTTCAGACTCAGGGTCTCTGAAAAGATTGCAGTAATATGTCATCTAGGGTTACAGTCATCTGAAGTTTTGATTAAGGCTGGCAGATCATTTTCCAAGGTGGCTACTCACATGGCTGACAAGTTGGTATAGGCTGTTGGTGGGAGGTCTCAGTTCTCCATGTGGGCCTCTTTGTAGAGCTCCTTGAATGCCTGCATGGCAGGGCAGCTGATTTCCTAAAGAGCAAATAATCCAAGAGACCAAGTTGCATTGTCTTTTATGATTTAGCTGCAGCAGTCATATACCATCTTTTCTCCAGTATTCTGTTGGTCACAAATGTGGGAAGGGAGTACACAGGGATGTGAATACTAGGAGTTGAGAATCATTAGGGGTTGTCTTGGAGGCTGACTACTTCAGTGGGTAGAATCCTATATAATAAAGAGGTAATATGTAAATTGACTCTCACTCCATCACAAGATGGATGCGCCCACAGTGCAGGCAGGGTTCCTGTAACACAAGATGGCTGCACTAACAGCGGAGGCAGGGTTCCCGTAACGAGCCGTAACAAGTGATCAGCAGGGACCTGAGGCTACATGGTGTTGGTCTGGGGGACCTGAGGCCGCGTCCCTAGCGCTGGGCCGGGGGACTTGAGGGTGCGCCAGTGGACCTGAGGCTGCACCCCCCACCTGGCACCGGGTCAGGGGACCTGAGGCTGCACCCCCCCCCCAACCAGCAGGGCTTGATGGGGGCCCTGAGGCTGTGCCCCCTACCCAGCGAGGCTTGACAGGGGACCTGAGGCTGCACCCCCCTGCCCGGCAGGGCTTGACAGGGGCCCTGAGGGTGCGCTGCTTACCCAGCGGGGCTTGATGGGGGACCTGAGGCTGTGCCCCCTGCCCAGTGCCGGGCCGAGGGACCTGAGGCTGTGCTCCCCCTGCCCAGTGGGTCTTGACAGGGGTGGGGCCAGCCGGTCTGGGTCTCGTGCGATTTCGAGGTGCATGTGGGTGGGCGGGGACTTGACTCTGGGTCCTGTGGCATGCCCCAGACACTGACAGGAGGAAGATTGGTATACATTTTACTAATTTTTTTCATCTCTGACACTTCTATTATAGAGAAAGGGCAAATAACAATATTAAAATATTTCCTCTAATTAATTCCCTTTTAATGTGCATGAATTTCATGCACCGGGCCACTAGTAGAAAAATAAGTGCTGGAAGAGGGTACAAAGTGCTAGGTAGGTGAGAGGAAAGAAGGTATCAGAGGAGAGAAAGGTTACTGCTGGGGAAATGAGGGAATTGAGAAAGATTTAATTCTTTTAACAGATATTTACAAATATTTATTGAGTGCTACTGTGTGCCTTCCACATGGTCAGCTAATATGTGGATGTGAACACTGAATTAGAGTCATTTATTTTAAGTATTCTAGGTCAGCATTTACACTAAGAACAAATATTTGATCTGTGTATAAGGTGAGGGTGGAGTAATTTTTCTTCAATATTGAAGAGAACAGTAACTTATCAGAATGAGAGACAAGCAGTTGTAGAGTGCAAGAAGTTAAGAGCATAAGTACTAGACTTCCTGGGTTCGAATTGTGGCTCCACCACTTGCTAGTTGTGTGACCTTGGGTTTGTGAGTATGATACTCTTGCTATTTTAAAAAATATATATTTTTACTTATTTTATATATGGGCCACTTCTGCTTGCTCCCCAATGGGTATTGAGCCTGCATCCCACATGTGCCGTGACCTGGAATCAAACCTACAACCTTCTGGTGTGTGGGTTGACGCTCAACCAACTGAGCCACACAAGCCAGGGGTCTACGTTTGTCTTCTCAGTGACTTACTAATTGTAAAATGGGGATAATAATGCTGCCTGCTTTATATTGCTGCTGTGAGAGTCAAATAAGTTAAAATTATGCCAAATCCTTAGAACAGCTTACATGCATCACTATCATCATTATTAATTTTTGGTAGTAGCATAGAATATGAGTGAATGAAGTTGGATTCAGAGATGAATGGATGTAGAGTGATGTGAGTATTCAGAAAGAAGCATTTAAATGTCAGTCATTGCTGCTTCAGTATCAGTTTTTTCAGTTCAAGTACCTACCTATGTCTAATAATTTTTATTTCACAAAGTAGAGTGAACCAATAATTTCACTTAGCTGAACTTCATAATTAAAACAAGACCTCAGGAAATGCACGGTTGCTTGTTGAGGGCATAGCATATCCTCTTGGGCCTCTTTATATTACTGGGCCCTCTAGCTGCTAGAACAGTGGTTCTCAACCTTGGCTGCACATTAGAATCACCTGGGAATCGTTTCAAAATCCTGATTTCTGGGCCTCATCTTCCGGAAATTCTGTTTCTTTGTTATGGGGTGGGGCCACAACATTAGTAGCAAAGAAACAGAATTTCTGGAGGATGAGGCCCAGAAATCAGGATTTTTAAAAGATTCCCAGGTGATTCTAATGTGCAGCCAAGGCTGAGAACCACTGTGCTAGAAGCAGTACTTACAGAGGCATGTGCTTACAGATGCATGTGCTTCAAAAGAGCT